GAGTAGAGCCATAGACTTTTATTCCACCTTGAGGTGACTCTCCTGGCTCTCGCAGACCTGTCCTCACTGTTGGGCTGACGTTGAGCCAAGGCAGTGTCCTTGCTCAGGTGTGAACCTCTCGTAGCTTGCTCCCACGGGAGGAAGGCCCCTGTGTCTCACTGTGGAGCTGTTCCCTGGTGACAAGACCCTTGGGTTTGTGTTCCTCTTGGTGGTTCAGAGAGGTTCTTCCAAATGTCAGGTGGTGCTTTATTATCAGCAGAAGTTACTGAGCTGCTGGTGAGTGGCCTCAGAAAGGAAGTGCTGTGCAGTCTGGTGGATCCAGAACAGTGTGAGTTACCCCCCTGTGTGAGTCAGAAGGTACTCAGGTGATGAAAAGCTGGTTGTATTTACGTTACAATACAGTCTTACATAAAATTGTTGCCTTTGGGGGTTTCTCCAGGCCTCGGGCAGATCCACAGCTTGTGAAATGAGCTTCACATTTCTGCTGGGGAGGGATGGGAGGAACTCCACGTCCTGTTCATGGCAGAGGCAAATGCTGAAAGCTCATGGGAAGAACACCTGTGCTTTCCTGACAACCAGAACCTGGTCTGGCAATCTCACCTGTTGTATTTATGGCTCGGGGGGATCACTGAATATTTTATGAATATTGAATAATGAGTCTCTTAAACCTCAGCCCAGTAAACCCTCTTCTCTTGGCTGCTTTGTGAACCAGGGAAAATCAAGGCTAGTGAGAAATGGCTGAAAAATTGTCAGGAGAGGCAGAACTTAGTTTCTCCATGAACAGGTAACTGCTGTGAGGAAGGCAGTAACCAGGGAACTCTTCCTGTAGGATGCAGGCTGCTACAAACCATTCCACAGCTTGATTTCTGCTTGTTTCATTATCTTTTAATTTTCCTTTCCAGCTGAAAACACTGAGGAGTGTGTCATCCTGTCCTCCTACATCCTGCACAACTCCTTGGCCTACGGGGCCGACTGGTCTCGGCTCTGCCCGAGGGGTTCCTGGGCCCCCACACAGGACACTGCTGCTGCCCCAGGCCAGCCCACAGAGGAGCTCCTGGGAAAAGCAGAAGGAGATGAGAGACTGAATTTGCAGGTCCAAAACCTGAAGATAATTTATGAGTCTCCTACAGCTACTTTTGATGTAATCCTGGATGAGGAGAGCGAAGGCCCTGCCCTGCCCCTCAGAGGGGAGGGGGGACCTAAGCTGTCTGGGGATCCTGCCCTGGTGGGGGGCCCTGAGTCAAAGGGGTGTTTAGGTTTGGGTGGGGGTCGTGGCCAGGGGGTTGATCCTGAGTCAGGCAGTGGCTCTGACTCAGGAGCTCAGAGAGGCAGCAGCACAGGCCTGGGCAGGAGCAGGGATCCAGCCAGCTCTCCAGACTGCCCAAGGGAAATGAGCCTTGTAGCAACCTGTTCTTTCTATGACAATATCCTCCACCTCTGGAGGTGGGAGATGAGCCTGGTCACCCCTTCGGAGGCACCAAGTACTAGAAGTCCCTCTGAAAGAACAGCCAAAAGTTTGCATTGAGTGGTCCCAAGGGAAAGAACTCCTGTGCTGAGAGTGACATCTGGGCTTGTGCCCTGTCTAATTTCGGTTGGGCTTTTCCAGCCTTGTTGTTGGGCTTGTGAGTCTTTTCAGGCAGATACTGGTGGGATTTCTGGTGGTGTATTTTCAGTGCTGGGGAAGGCCTTTGCTTTGAGGCACACTTGTTTAGCTTTCCCTTAATCTGCTTGCTGTGAGTGGCACAGCCTTCCTCAGAAGGGCTGCTTCTCTGCACCTTGCCCCTGAAGCCCTTCGAGGCAGGTTTGTGTTTCACCATTGATGTGTTAAGCTCATTCTCCTCCTTCCACCCCAAACCAAACCTGGCTGTGCCCCTGCACGTAGCCAAACACACAGTACGTGGTCAGAGGTCTCCTGGGCGTGTCTGGGAAGCTGGTGAGTGGAGGCTCAGCTGGGTGTGGGGCTCGCTGTGTGATCTGTGAGCTGGGCTGGACCTTGAGAGGAGGCTCAGACACATCCAGATCCTGACAGTGCTACGTGCTTCTAGAGACATTAGTAGAGAGAAACTCTGAGAAGGAAATCCAGACTGACCAGTGTGACAGCAGCTCAGTGATGGGGAGCTTTGTTCTGAGCAGGGCCTTTCTTGGGAGAATTCTGGTCTATCTCCACAGCCTAACTCCACATCAGCCTCACCAGGGGGTTCCAGTCTTGCCTCAGCACAACCTGGTGTAGCATCATTTGTGCAGTGAGCCCCTCTCTGCTCTGTGGGGAGCGTGGGGAGCCCCTGGCCCAGAGAGGTGGTCACTGCCCCATCCCTGGAACCATCCCAGGGGAGGTTGGATGGAGCTCTGAGCACCCTGCTCTAGCTGGGGATGTCCCTGTCCCTGCAGGGGGGTTGGACTGGATGAGTTTAAACATCCCTTCCCACCCAAACCAGTCTGAGTCTAGTGCCACACTTAACCCCCTCCATGGTATCAAACTCATGTTGTCTGCTCTCCACGAGACAGCCATTTAGGTCCAAAGTCAAGATTTTTCAGCTTTTTTTTTTAAAGGTGAACAGCTTTAAGATCAAAACTTCCAAAAAGTATAAGCAGTGTTTTCTGACATCTCTTCAGTTCAAAATAAGTTTAAGTAAGTACAGAAACCAAAATCTTAACAACATTGCCCTAACTACCTCCAGGAATGGCTACTGAATTTCTCATGGTTGCAGAACTTCTCATGGTTGCTCCACTAGCTTTCCTTTTTCACTGTGAAATATCAGCAAAACACCCTTTCTGGAACACTTTCTCTATTTAATCTTTCTAGAAACAAAACCAACCAGCTTAAATTAGGTAAATGACTTGTAGCTTGCATGGTTTCTCTTTGGGAGTCCTCAAGAATTAGTTGTCTGGAGGGAAAGAAACACCAGCAACAGGCATCTGTCTGTCACAGTGCTGCATCTAAACGAGGTGTAGAATTTTACTGCTTTGAAACTCCCTTTTCAAGGGTGAACATGTATTTTAGAAAACATTCTTGAGTGCTGTTACACGAAGATTCCTCTTAGGATTGTGAACAAGAGCTTTTGTTAAAAAAAAAATAAACCACCCTATTTTTGGATGTTTCTACAATAAAGTCAAGATTAAGTGATTTACCTTTCTTGGTGGTTTTGATTTTTAAGAAGTCCTCCACAGTTAGTCCTTGTGGGAGGACACTAAGCCTCCTGGAGGGCGTTTGGTGTGGATGCTTTGGGAGGCAAGGGCAGACAATCCAGTTTCCTCATGCCTCAGGCAGAGCACCGAGGGCGTTTCCCTGTAGCGACACGGCTTCTGATGCTGACTCTGTCTTTACAAGGTTGTAATGCGTTTTTTATTGCCCTGTGAGATGAGGTCTGAGGCACAGAACGGGACCAGGCGGGGGCGCTGGGTTCCAGTGTCGCTCTGGTCCCTGCTCTGCCCCAAAAAACGAGGGATCTCCTTTCATTAGAAGAGAAGGGAAGGAAAGGGGCGGGGCTCGCTCAGAACCAAGCCGGTGTGAGCACTGCAGGATCTTCTGCTCTCCAGCCTTGTGTTCACCTGCCCTTCACCCCTTCTGGAAAGCAGGAGCCCAAGGAGGTGACAGCTCTGAAGCAAAGCCCCACCTCTGCCCACAGCATCTGGAGCTGAGAGCCAAGAACAACCATTTCCAAGTTTAAAAGCTAAAAATGCATTCATTTCTCATTAATTAGAAAACCTGCACCCTCTCTCAGCCCCACAGTGGGTGGTGGTGGCTCCCGTGCCAGTGCACCAACAACTCCTCCTTTTGCTGCTGTTTGGGGCTGCAGCACCCCTCAGAGCCCTGAAAATACCTGGGTTCTAAAGAGGGGCTCTCTGTGGGCTCATCTATCAGTCTTCTTTACAGACTGGATCCTTTCTCCAAAAGCGAATGTTTTAATTATGATTTAATGTGTTTAAATGTAATTTAAAAGCTCAAGCTTTGCAGTACTCTCTATTTAGAAAGCCTCCTGGGAGGGCTGCGTGCTCCACACACAACTGTCACACAGAATTCTTTCTCTCAAGAATTCCAGGACATGTTTGATATATAAAACGTGTTGTTTCCAACAATTTAAACATTGGCAATTGGGCAGTTTGTACTTTAATCACTTGCACATGACTGCCCGTGTGAAGCTTGTATCCATTTAATTTGGTGACCAGCAAGACAACTGCTCTGCTAGGAATTTATGTCCAAAAATAACAATTTTTACCAGTTTTGGCAGTTACCAGTGTCTGGCCCATCAGCTCTGGTCTGAGAACAGGACACCCGTGTGCTGCACAACCCCCATGTCTGGATGCACAACACTCTCCTGAGTCGTGATGGGAGACTTCAAAAACTGTAGAATCATTAAGGTTGGAAAAGATCTCCAAGATCATCAAGTCCAACCACCAAGCCAACACTCCCATCACCACTAAACCATGTCCCCAAGTGCCACAGCTACACGTGTTTTTTGAAGCCCTCCAGGGCTGGGGACTCCAGCACCTCCCTGGGCAGCCTGGGCCAATGCTGAACCACTCTGCCAGGAAAGAAATTCATCCTAAGATCCAATGAAACCTCCCTTGGTGCAACTTCAGCCCATTGCCTCTCGTCCTATCGCTGATTACTTCAGAGAAGAGACCAACCCCCTCCTCACTCCAGCCTCCTTTCAGGGAGTTGGAAAGAGCAAGAAGTATTCCCCTGAGCCTCCTCCAGCCTAAACACCCCCAGGTCCCTCGGCTGCTCCTCACAAGCCATGTTCCCCGAGCCCCCCACAGCTCCGTTGCCCTTCTCTGGACCCGCTCCAGCCCCTCAAGGTCTTTCTGATCCTGTGGCGCCCAAACCTGAACAGTTTCCCCCCAGCACTTTCACGCGGGACACTGCAGAGAGACAGGGTGGAGAGATTTGCTTTTAATGGCCGGTGACGGAAGCTGTCCCCTCTGCGGTGAGGGCTCGAAAAAAATACCGCACGTAGTTCTTGGGGTAGAGCTGGAAGAGCTTGCCCTCCTGCGTGGGCTCGAAGCCGTACTTCTCCAGGTTTTCGGGGTCGAACGTGCCTTCCTTCACGTCCTTCTCGATGCGCGGAGCCACCACCTCGGTGAAGAGCTGCTTGGCCGTCATGGGCTGCTCGGAGCCCTCGGGGGCGCGGTACGACACGTAGGGCTTGAGCTTGAAGCCGCGCAGGTCGGGCACGACGAACTCGGGCACCATCTCCTTGACGAGCAGGAACTTGTGGCTGGCCGTCAGCACGCCGGGCTTCTTGGCGCCGCGGCCCTTGTTGTAGGTGCGCGGGCCGCGCTTGCTGGTGAACGGG